CATATAGATCTGAAGAGACCAAGAATAGGAAAAGCAATCCTGGGTAGTAGAGCAAGGCAGGAAGCATCACAATATTGGATTTAAAATCACATTACAAAGCTACAGTGATAAAAACTGCATGGTACTGGTACAAAAAAAGATGTGTGGATTGGTGAAACAGAATAGCAGATGAAGAAACAACCTCAAGCACATTCAACTATTTGATCATTGACAAAGGTCCCAAAAACATACATTGGAGAGAAGATGACCTTTTTAATAGATTGTGTTCATAGAACTGACTATCCACAAGCAGGAGGTTAAACTTAGACCCATATCTTCACCATGCCCTAAACTAAATCAAAATGGGTCAAAGAACTAAATGTTAAAACAGAAATACTTAATCTTCTGGAATATAAAATAGGTAAAACTTTTGAAGTCATAGCATAGGCAAGGACTTTCTGAAGAAAACCCTGGTTGTACAGGAAGTATTACTAAAGAACCAATAAACAGGATCATGCTGAATTAAATACTTCTGCCCAGCAAAAGCAACAACCAACAGAGAACTAATATGCAGAATATATAAAGAACTCAAAAAAGTAGACTCCTCAAAATTAAAGAAAGACCCAGTTATCACAGAAGAAGTACAAATGCCCAATAAATACATGAGAAAATGCTCTACATCACTTGCTGTTAGAGAAATGCAAATTAAAATGATACTGAGATTCCATTTTACCCCAGAAAGAGTGGCCACCATCAAGAAATGAGATAATAATAAATGCTGACAAAGCTGCAGGGGATGAAGGAAACTGGTTAAAATTATTATTCTTCTCTCCAAAAAGATCACAAACATTGAAAACTCTTAACTGCATTAATTATGAGTTGTGATTTCCCTAAGCCTGTCCATGAATCTATGAAGACTACTCATGTTCAGATTTCTTACATGAAAAGATTTAAAACATGACGGTAATATGATTGGATTTTTGCTTTGAACATTCTGGCAACCCTATGGAAAATGGAGGCAAGTTTCTGAGTGTCAATATCTGTGAAGGAAACACACAGAAATCCAAGCAAATCAAGAAAAGTGGTAATACCATAGTAATAGTATATTGCATAGTACACCAAAAGTTTAAAGATCTTATGTGCAAGTCTCTTTAGGAAGTATAATTAGCAAGACTGGGATGAATTAGCTATGCAAAGTGAGAGATGAAGTGATAGTAAAGATGAGTTTGCTTTTGGACACATATCCAGTATCTTCTAGTGCATCCAAGTGAGCAGTACTGCAAGAGGTTGAGTACACCAACCTAAGAGTTTTATATGTGGTTAAAACTATCAGGGTCCATGAAATATTTCAAGGAGATGGTGAAGAGTTAGAAAAGGCAGGCTGAGGGAAAAAATGAGGGAAAAAATAATATTTAAGAGTCTCTAGAGAAATAGAAGCCTTTAAAGGAAAACTGAGGGAAAAAATAATATTTAAGAGTCTCTAGAGAAATAGAAGCCTTTAAAGAAAACTGAGAAGAGATATATTAACAGGATAAGTCAGATATTCAGGACAGGTAGGGGCCACACAGAATATGCAGTGACAGCCTCAAAAATGAGTGTTCACACAAGGTCAGGTAAAAGTGAGGTTGGCACAGTTTCCTTTCCATATGGCGGTGAGGGGCTCTGGCAGTCTTGGTGTAAGCAGTTTTCCCAGAGTAGCTGAGGCACAAAGCAAATTAAACCAGGTTGAGGAGGGCAGAAAAATTGTGGAAGTGAAGGTATTAAATAAAGAATATTTTAGGAGTTTGGCTCAATGAAGACAGTGGAAGAAAAGGCAAGAGCTAGATGCTTTGGCTAATTTTGGGAGCAATGTGAACATATGTGTGTGTTTCTGTTCAAGGCTGCAAGAGAAGTGAGCTTGTGCTGTGGGCAATGATACTGGGGTTAAACAGTGAATAGCAGAGGTGGGCAACATACGTGGCGGTCTTACATGGACATGACGTACTGGGACACAGATTGCCAAACCAATGGGTATAAGTCTTATATGCGGCACATGGGCTTTCCCTCCCTGAGTTGGAAAATCAGTGAATGCAGGTCAGGTTGAGAATAATTATGGGAATAGTCTTCCAAGTGGCTTAAGAGAGGTGATATTTTTGAAAGGTCCTTCACAAAACAATCCAAGAAAGACTACCAAGAAACCCGCTTTTGAAGTTGGAACCCACTGCTTGCATTCACCAGTTTCAGTATCTTCAACACTATTGAGTTGGTCACATGGACCAAATGGTGGCTAATGTGAGACTGAGGTTTGGTTAAGCAGGAATGGTAGGAGGACAGAGGGCAAGGGGGCTGAGGACACAGCATGTTCCAGACAGCGAGGACAGAAAGGGAACCAGGAGGAGCCAGGTGTGTAAGAAAGTGAGATTGTGAACAAGCACAAAAATAAGTTTGTTTTCAGAAAACATTGGATTTATACATTTATACATTTCTGACCTGGAGTCATTCTGAGCTGTCTGTCCTGGGGAACATGAAGCAGAGGCAAGACTCCAGGTTGAGGAAGTCAAGGGATTTTGAGGTCAGCAAATAGGTATGTATGAACACCAAGACACTGAGCATCAGAGGATAACTTGGGCAGAAGGAGAAAACGGAGCCATAGCAGTCTGTACAGGCAGAGGGAAGAAGGATAATATACATAATCCTGCATCATCTGTGTTTGAGAGGCAGCTTCCCTTGCAGATGTGGTACTGTAATACCTTTTTCCTTCTTCTTTTTAGTATTGGGTATTGGGCCTATGGCCGTGTTCAAGCTTAGCATGTGCTGTGCCATTGAGCTATGACACAGGCCCTGTGATATACTTGGAGGAGGAAATAATTTCTGTAATATACTTGGAGGAGGAAACAGTGTCAACATGAAAAGAACAGCAGGAAGCACCTTGTATAGCAGTTAAAAATAAGCAGATTTGTTAAATATAACAGAGCACCTTTAGACAGTAGAGAGAAAAGGTTTGGGAATATGAGTAAAAGTCTTGTGGCAAAAAAAAAAAAAAAAAAAAAAAATTCCAAAAAAACCGCTTACCTTCTTCAAGGCGATGTTTCCCGGACTTGCCCAGAAGCCCTTGTTTGCACAGCTCCCATTAACCTCTTGCAGAAGCAGTGCTGTGTGGGCTGCAGCTCCGGAAACATTGGCGGTGCACTCAGATGGAGTGTTTTGCAACGGAACTGGTGCCAAGCCATGGTAAACACAGCTCTCCAGGTACCTGGAGGACAGTGTGGGCAAAAAGGAGCCAGCTGCAAGGGCGCCCAACTGGCAGAATTTTTGTTCATGACCATTTTTCATGACCATTTGTCTTTCAACTCGGCCACATTGAGAGCTTTGTGAAATTATAATCTCCTCGCATCTCTACAACACTTATTAGTACATGATAGATAAATATTTTCTCCTATTGATGCTTGTAGTGAGCAAAAAAAAAATCCACATAGTTTTAAATGCCTCTCTTCTACTTTTGTTGAGAATTTATTTTTTCTTTTAAGTTTTTAACCTAATGTTAAATACTCAAATGTGTTGGTGTTGCTGTGGATTTTTAATGGTAGCTATTGCTTCCACCTTTCAATAAATCATGTACCTAGGTACCTTTTTTCTTTAATAATATTGATAGAATTGTCACAAGCTGAGAGAGCTCAAAAAGACTATTTGAAATTGTTGATTATTGCAATTGTTTTCCTAATTACTGGGAGGGATTCAAATGTAAAAATAGTAGGGAAGATTTAAAAATATGTATCTAATTAACTTAAAGGTGATTTTTTTTGTAAAAGTAAAAATTTTAAAAATTATTTGTTATAAAATACATATGTATCTAATCAAAATAGATTACAGTTATCAGGAAATTCCCTTTCAGAATTCTATAATTACTTTATAGAATAGTAAATATAGTACTATATATACAAAGTAACATGTAGTACAAATACATATAGAAATGTAAGAATTTAATATTATAAAATATTATGAGTACAATTTTCCATATTTATAATTACGCAAAAGGGAAAGAGAAAAATATATCTATTTGCTTAAATTTGCAAAAGAGAAAAGTAAATTTCTATGCCATCCCACTTTGTATATAAAAGCAAAGTTATGAAATGGCTGTGAAGTATAACATTTGATTGTTGGATCGTTATGAATTACTTGTATTTTTAAGAAATTTTAATGTTTTATGTCATACATTTACTATTACTTTCCTGTAAGGGTGCTTGCCATTATCACCTCAGTATAAGAAAAAAGTAAGGAAGCTCTTAGAAACTCTGATTGCTATACTGTCCTTCTATACGAGTGGGGCTACATTTACTTAGAGCAGAATTCCAAAATGTGTTGTCTGCTTTCCTTTTATAGTGTGGTTTCAGAGTGTAACATAAACCAGAGTTGTATTGGATATTGCTCGTCCACTTTTCTCACTACACAGATGAAGATATAGATGCTCAGAAATACATTGTATGTAAGGACCTGTACGATCTTCCTCTCTTGAGGAAAACCCAGGGCTGAAGAGAGCCTCAGGCAGCCACACATATCAGGACCCGTTGCTGTCCCTGCTGTCTGCAACCCTTCAGCGTCAGAGTGGTTGATTTGGAGAACAGTGTTTGATAAATGTTTGTGTAATCATGAAAATCATCTCATGTTTCTTGGCCTCAGGACTTAGTTTAGCACACTGTATTGGACTCTTTTTTTTTCCCCCTCCACTCAATCTCCCTTCGTAGTTTGAATGAAAACATTTGCTTTAGCTGTTTCTTCAGTTAGGTAGAGAAGTAAAACAGATTCAACCTAACCCAGTCTTGCCATGTATATATACAAAGAAAGAAGACAACTATTACATAAAGCTTAGAGAGTAAAAACCCTATAGTAGGATGGCTTAGTAGACTTTTTATTTATTTCTACTTTGAAGAAACATGTCCAATTAAAGTGTTTGAAAGTTCATGGTCTTATTCCCCCTAATGTGTAGCACATATTTCATAATTTGACATTATTAGAAATTTCTATAACTGTTTTTAATTATTTAGGCTTCAAGGAGACAACCTGGCAGAGAGGACAGAAGAGACATTACACATACTTCATTCTCCAGATGAAATCATTCCAGATTCATTGGGTAAGTTTTAAACCCAACAATATTTATTACAGTTTTAGCAGCACTTGATGATTTGAATACGTGTGAAATTACACTGAACATTTTCTCTTGCACCAGATCACTGTAGCTGGTCATGAGCTCACTACCACCACATGCCTTTGGACTGTGTGCTGGGAGGTTAAGGATAGAGAAGAGAAGGAAGCAGAAAGTGTGGGTGCTGAGGACTAGCAACTGTATGTTGACTACTGCCAAAATTCTGTCACTAATTCCAACTTGTTTTCAGAACTTTACTTTTCCTGTTTACTCTACAGCACATGAAACTCATTATCTGCCCCCTGACATTTGAATAACTCCAACTTCCATTCTCAGATCACTGATCCATTCTATAGTCTTAAGGAGATGGATCCGTACCGTGCTTGAGAATACCATATACCTTCTCTTTCAGCCTTGCATTAAGTTGACGCTGAATTATGGTCAATACCACTTCAGAATCTCCTACGTCAGCCTCTTGACTTTTCCTGATGGTGCCTGGACTATACTTTTCTCATCTTTCACCATCTAGTGTGATAACCTCCTTTCCCCCTCTTTGCACTGTCCCAGTTCACTTTTTCTTCACTATTTTTCCAAAGATAAAGTTCTTTAGTATATACTCATTTTGTATAGAATGAAAGTCAAGCTCCATAACTTATTGTATTAATGTCAGAGCACTTCAAAATGTTTCCTGAATAAGTAAATAGTTGCAGGTAATGCAACTCTAGGGACATCTAAGATACATCACTTCTTCATCAGTCAGTGTTCAATACCTCTGTTCAGTACCTCTAATCAGATAGAAGTGAAACTACAGGAAAATATTTTTCCTAAACCTGGATAGGGAAGGACATCCTAAACAAGACACAAAAATTCTTAACCATAAGGGATATAATGAAACAATATTGCACTATACAGTTGAAAGAGCTTGAAAAGAGGGTTTTGAATGTTTTCATTATAAAGAAATGGTACATGAGGAAGTAGATATGCCCAATGTGAGGTTAAAATGACAAAATATATACACACATTGAACTACCCTATGGCAACTTACTAAGATATAGAATTTTTATGTTTGATAAGTTAAAATTTAATTTAAAAATTGTCTATTTTTATAAAAGAAAAGTAAAAACAACTATAAAAAATTCAGAACTCTTGCACATCAAGAGAAAAGACAAAAATGGGAAGATATAAGAAATTAATATTCAAAATATCAAGAGCCTACAATCTAACAAAGATCAACAAATCCATAGAAAAATAAATGAAAAGCATACATAGATATTTAACAGAATAGAGAATAATAAGGTACAATAAACATGATGGTGAGAAATTGTTTTGTAACCATTTGTTTGACATTAATGAGGAAAGCTGGCAAGAATACCTGATAGTGAAGGCACAGATGAAAGAAAACTCATATAGTACAGAGAGGATATCAATAATTCTGGAAAAGTTTTCCATTACCTTAAAATCTTGAGCATTTATGAGGTGTGATCAAAACAGATGGTGAATATTAGGATAAAAAAATTATCACCGTAAAAGACATATTGACATTATTTTACCTAAAAATACTGCCTTTTGCTTTCATCATACTTATCCCATTGTTCTTGCTGCTTTCTGAACCACCTCTAGAAGTTCACTTTTATGAGTATCTTTATAAGATGTGATTAAAAATATAGTGAATGCTGTTTACAGTGTCACCTAATGGAAATTCAGGCCCATAAAACATTACAGTGTGTCCTCATTCACCTTATTCATTCGATCTGGGACTGAGGGAACTGTGGCTGTTCTTCAAAGTCAAAATGACCATGTGTCTTGGTTACTTTTCTCTCGTTGCTGGGACAAAATATCTGATGCCCAAAATTAAGGAAGGAAAGGTTTATTTTGCTTATAGTTTGTGGAGGTTTCAATCCGTACTTGGCAGATTATCAGGCAGAGTGGCACATTGCAGAGGGCTGCATCTCAGGGTGGCAGCACACAGCTAAGCAACAACCACACACCAGGGCAGAATGGGGGAGGAATGCCCCAAGCACCCTTTTCCTCTCCCTTACATATGCAAACTATCCACCCCAGGGCGGGTGTAGCTCTCACACCCACAATCATTCAACTCTAATAGCCTGCCCCATGGTCGCATGAGGCTTTGGAGGGGACACACAGACATAAACCATAACACCATGAGAGGTAAAAGTGGTGAATCAATTGAAGACGTCAGAGAAGCTGAGACAGTGCAACTAAAGACATTGAGGGCTTCCAAAACTGCTCAGAAAGTGTTAAGGACTGTAGAATAAGTATATTCAAAGTGAGAGGAAAATAGTCATAGGGTGATTAATTCATTCTTGTAATCATTAAATGGTTAAGTTTTATTTTCATAATGTCTATAGCCCCTGACTAGCTTGTTAAATAAGTATTTTAGCATTAGATTTGCACTGTATTGGGAAGGGTCTATTTAACTTAGTAACTTTCAATATGTAAACTTTCAAATATTCTAACAGCACTTCACAGTTGTCTATTTCTGCTAATTTCAATGGAAATCACCATGTTATAGATATCATCAATTATTGTGCCAACAACTAACAAGAATTTAATCCCAACAAGTACAGAACAGAATGTAAACCATAAAAGATTACTAATACCTTCTGTTTGCAAATGCTCATTTTTATTAAAAAAATTCTCTGTGTGTTCAGTAAATTCTATCAAAAAAGTGTCATAGAAAATTTCACTAAGTATATTTTGAAACCGCTTATTAGAATACTTATCATAGAGTATTTGCAGTATTCATTGAATAAATGAATACACAAAATTGCAAAGAAGTGTGTGAATTAATAAAAACATACATGAATAATTGAGCAGAATGACAAAGCCTCTTTAAAACCGTTAGCTATGGTACTTACCAAGAAAAGTTGTGTCTTAGTTAAGTTTTCATTGCCAGGACAAAATATCCAACACCCAGAAGTTAAAGGAGGAAAAGTTTACTTTAATTCAGTTTGTGGAGGTTTCAGTCCATAACTCCAAGACAGGATGGCATGTTAGAGGAGAAAGATTTCATGATGTGGCAGGGAGGAAACAACAAGACTCCCTTCTGTCCTCTTTTATTCCATCTAGACTTCAAGGCTACTTGTTGGTCCTGCCCACAACTCAAGATGGGTCTTCTCTCTTCAGTAAGTCCATTATCCACATCCATTGCTTCACTAAACCTGTCTAACTGGACTAATTTCGCACCCATGACCCAGTCACTCTTAAAAGCTCTACCTCTGGGCACATGAGTCTTTGTCAGGGGCATCTAGATGGAAGCCATAACATTCTGCTTCTGGTCTCCAAGACTCATGAACATCCCTTTATGCAAAATGCTTTTAGTCTACCTCTAAGAGGTCGCTGAAGTCCAAACAGTTTCAGTATTGCAGAAAAGTCTAAATCCAAATTCTCCTCTGAGGTTTAAGGCAAATTCTAAGATGTGAGCCCCTATTAAAGGAAAATGTTAAATGCTTCCCACACACAATGGCACAAGAGAAACGCTCCTATTCCAAAAGGTACAAAAAGAGGGCTAGAAAGGAATGGGAGCAAAGCAAGACCAAAATCCAGCAGGGAAAACATTAAATTCTGGATTTCCATATCCAGCACCAGGGGCAATCTGTGGCAAAATGTGAGCTCTAAAGAGGTGGGCAGGAGGCCCCTCCCTCAAAGCATTTCCAGTGGTTGAAGCCCTCGTGGCCCTTCTCAGGCTAGCTTTGCTAACTCCTTGTGACATACCTCTGAAAATCCACATTCCTGGCTTCTCCAACCTTTTGGGTTCTCCACAGGACCTTTGGCTTCACACACTGCCCTCTCGGGATCACACTGCCGGGACTCCTGGGCCATCTTCTGAAATCTCGGTGGAAGCCTTTCTCACCCCACAGCTCTTATATTCTGCATTTTCCTAAAACCAGTACTATGTGGATGATGTCAAGACCTGCTGGCAGGTGGAGCAGCAGCCAGGCTTCCCCCTTTTAGCTGTGGGTAGTGAGTACCTGGATTGCTAAGCTTGATGAATGCAAGTAACAAATTCCTTAGCCCACCGCCATCTTGGAATGTGGTACCCTGGGGCTCTCTTCTCAAATCAAAGTCTTTCACCTTTGCAATTTAGAGGCTGAAAAGAGTAGAGTCTTGCTGGTTCTTGTGATGCCCTGAGGCCATTTTTTTCTGTTGTACTGTTCCGAAGTATTCAGCTAACCTCTTCAGCAACCAAGTTCTCCTCTACTCTTTCTTTGCAGTGACAACTTTACAAGAGTTTCTTTTCTGGTCAAACTCAAAAGTTTTCAAATCATTCTGTTTGTCCATTTGCTCTTCATTCTCAAGACACAGCTGACTAAAAGCCCCCGGCAGTAGCCATGCCACTGCCTCAACAGTAGACTTGCTTGAAATATCTTCCACCAGATCGATTAATCTGTTGCTCTTAGTCTCAGTTTCCTGTGATGTCTCTGGACATGGGTAAAATGTAGACAAATTTTCCATCAGAGTATAATACACATGGTGTGGAGTCCAGCTGCCAATATGGTCTTCCAACACAGTTTTCAACTGAAGCCTGTTAAACCTGGTCCTTGTTACCCTCATTTCTAACATCATTCTGGTTTTCCATGCTCTGACCAGACTCTCCCATCAAGCTCAGCTTGCAGAATTCTGTGCTACTTCTCCAGCTGGCATCACCAAACCTTTCCAACGCCTCCCAAAAGCCAGTTGCAGTGGTATGTGAACCACATTATCAGTTAGTAACCCAGCAATGACTCCACTTCTGGGACCAAAATCTGTCTTGGTTACTTTCTTGTTACTGGGACAAAATGTAAAACACCCACAAGTTAATGGATGAAAGGTTCATTTTAGTTCACAGTTTACAGAAGATTCAGTTTATAGTCAGCTGGCTTGAAGGTAGGGTAGGGTGGTAGAGGAGAAACTTCACAGCCTATCTGGCAAGGAAGAGCATGACTTCCTTCTTCTTCCCCTTTTTTTTTCCATGCAGGCTATAGGGCTACTGATTCGTACCTCCCACACCCAAAGTAGGTTTACTCCCTTTTCATTAAATCCATCATCCACACCAATGCTAAACCAATCAGTGGAATAATTCAGTATCACCCACACCCATGATCCAGTCATTCTCCAAAGGCCAACTTACCATGTTTCCTAAAAGTAAGACCTATCTAGAAAATAAATGTTGGTTGTTACCATGGTGACAGTCCATGTCATGTGGAAGATTATGCCTCACTATTCTCTTTCTTGGTGGCTAATCTGTAATAGCAGGTAAGGCAAGGTGTTTGGGTTAGCATTTTGATCTCTAGTTTGCAAGGCTGACTCATTTTCTTTTTGGGACTTATTTTCAAGGAAACATGCTGTGAGTGCATGAAGCTGTGGGGAAACATGTAGATATAAGCCATACCATAAATCAACTTGTTAACACACTTATAGTATTTTTTAAGTTTTAAAAATCACCAGGTTTACAAGTGTGTGGGTTTTCCTGTTCTAAACATAAATTATTTTGTAATGCAGAATAGAACATTTTAGTATTATCTATCTGTTAAATCAATATGCTACTCAAGAATTTCAACATATAAAACAGCAAACAATACTGAGTGGATTCTAAAGTTCCAATAGCATTTACTCTCAGCTCTGTATAATATGTCTCTGAGAATAGAAATTAAGTATAATTTACCTCTTAATTTGAAATCTATTGTCACCCTTAGAACTTTGTTTTAGTAGATAAGGATTCAATAATTCTTTGCAAATGGATTACTATGTTTCAACTTGGAGAATTCTCATTATGTATCCAGACTTTATCAAAAATTTACTTCTTTTAAGTGTCTTTATGATGTTTGGAAAGATAGTAGATAAAAATTTAAGTTTATCTACAATTTGAGAATGTATGTTTTTCCCAAAGTCAGTTTTATAGTAGACAGTATTTTGTGTTCTAAAATAAAATCTACATTTACTATATCTAGATGAGCTGTATTCTCTGAGATTTTGCAACTTTTCTACTTGAACATAAAATTCTGAATCCTCTGTGATAAAACAAGCTGTGGTTTTTCAAAAGCTATGATTATGGATTTATGCCAAATTTCCCATTGTCTCCCTATTCCTTGGTGGCCATTAAGAACTAGAAGGATTTAATGCTCTAATTTTCTTCCCAGAGTACACATTTCATAGAAAAGAAAAATCTGTCTCCATTTGCACATGAATCTAAGTGAAACTCTTCGTTATAATTTCATATGGACCTCCAAATAGTAATAAATAAATCAATTTTACAATATACTAGTTTAAAAATACCCTTCTCTAGCCTCTTCTGCTACTTGGCACCAAAATATATCAAAACGTTGTGGGATTCTGGTTGTCTCTAGGTTATGAAATGCTTTCTTTAGACTTCCGTATGTTTAAAGTTCTCTTTAAAACTACTATTTAATAAAATATTAAATTAAAAAAGGAAAACATAAAATACCTTTCTTTAAATTGACATTTTATTTCAATAGAAGTAGTTAAAATTCAACTAACAGTTGATAGTATTTGGTATGGATTATTTACAGATACTCCATATATCTATCCTGCAGACTTCTTTATAGTTATAGAAATCCATAGTTCTATAAGTAATTGAATTCAACAGACATATGGAAAGGGTCATCCTCACCTCCCATAACTGAAAATCACCACTCACTCCTCACCCTTCATATAAGGTAAATAATCACAACTCCTTTTTTGATACATTAAAATGGAAAACCTGTCGCCATTTATTAATAGGCATTCTTCTCTGAACTCTACTTGCAATTTTTATCTTATTTAAAAGAGAAAACACGAAATGATAGTTAAGTTGTTTAGCCTTGAAAAAGTAGACAATTGATGGGTGAATCAATAATCTAATGAATTTACAGAAAGTAGAGATGTTGGGACTTGGACTGTAGCTCATGGTAGAGCACTTAACTTAGCATGTGTGAGGCCCTTCAATTTTTATCACTGTAAAGAAAAATAAAATAGTTATCAGCTTCACTAATTGTCTTTAAGCTAAATAAATATCATTGTGCACTCTAATTCAAAACACATGGCTTTTCAACCATCGGTTCAGTCACTTTAATATCTTCACCAACATGTTTATGGGTCACAGAATTAATAAGCAATAATGAAGTTATATTTTGTTCTCTTTTGAAAATTGAAATAGATTCTTTACCTGGAACTGAAGAAGCACTGATGGAAGAGGTTGGAGATTGTGAGAAAGCATCTAAATTACCAGCACCTGTAAGCATACTCATTTATGTATTCTTTAATTTCTAAAATAATGTATAGTATTAATGTGAAAATCTAGAAGGAAGAGAAAGCAACATTCTTTAAATTAAAGGATATTTTTAATATTCCTATAGCATTCTCTATATATTTATAGACTGTTTGCATCAGTAGTAACCCACTATATTACAAATATATCATAAGTCTGTTTTAAGCTCTGTCTGCAATTGCAGAAGACTTGATTGAGATAGGAAAGTTAAGTTCTGGTATGATTAGCAGCATACATGTGCATAAAAGGTTATTAGTATTTTAAACCTCTCATATATGTATGTGTGTGTATATATATATATATATATATATATATATATATATATATATATATATAATGGCAAACTGCTGCTTGGGTAACCTAGGTCACTGAGATTGCTCCATATGCATTTTCAATTTCTTCTTTAAAGGCCGGTAGTGTAATGGGTTTTCTGTGATGTACAGCATCCCCTGGGGTCCACCATCTGAGGGTAACACCATCTGTTGAGAAAACATCCTACTATTTTTCTTTTTCTCAAAGTGTGTGTACAGTTTTTGCAGACTTTGTATATATTATATATGTTTTGCTAATCCTAAAAATTTACATAGTACTTACATATACTCTTTTCTTTCAGTTATGAAGTCTATTAGATTTATGATTTTAATGAAATTCAAAGTTGAAAGAATCAATACAGAAAAACTGAAAGCTTTATATAAATTCTAAATGCAACACCTATTATAGATTCTGAGTCCTCTAAAATGTATGCGAATGCAATCTTGCATTATCTTAAGTATAATATGTAAATTGTACTCACGTAGTACTTCAGTATTCTCTGTGTTAGCATGCCTGGGCTGCCGTAAGAAAGTCAATGGTAAACAACAGAAATACATTTCTCACAATGCTGGAGGCAGATGCAGTGGCAAGGTTGATTTCTTTAGAGACCTCTTTCCTGGCCTTGCAGGTGGCTGTCTTGTCCCTGAGCCTCCACAGCTCCTCCATTTCTAAGTGCCTGTCTCTTAATCTCTTTATGATCGGTAATACAACCTCTGTTATCACCAGCGGTACTGGATTTGTGCCCACTTAACAATCTCATTTCACTTATTAGCTTTTTAAAGACCCTATCTTCAAACATTCTGAAACACTGGGGCTAGGACTTCAACACACGAGTTTTAGTTAAACGGACTTCAGGTCACACCACTCTGTGATGAAGATATGTTATTTGAAACATCATTTGGATTGCAGACTTTTGTTAAGGGCTGCCTGTTTTCCATTGGTCTTCATGGTGAAGTTAATTCTAAAGCTTACTGATGAAATTAGTGTGTCTCTCCTCCTCTGTCACTTTCCAATTGTAGCTGCCCTTTATTTTTGTTTATCGTACCCGACGGCTCTGCTATGCTATATAATTTACTTATTTGTCGTATATATTGCCTGTCTCCTTTAACTGTAATATAAGGTCTAGGAGGGCAAGAATTTGTGTCCATTGTTTTTCACTTAGAAGTATATCCTTAGAAGTGTACCTACACTAGGACTCCCACTGTACATATCTGTTGAATGAATGATATAACTTAGCAATAATTCCTTACCACAAAATGAAAAATTTTATATTTTTCCTTATTATACAGTGATGGAATCTTAGAAATAGATGGGGCCATGGTGATCATGTACTTTAGCATCTCCCTCCCTTACTTTAGAATTCCAAGTTGCTGTTGCATTTCATGTAGAGTAAGGAGATCTGTTTCATAGGGAAGAAAACAGCTCAAAGAAGCTCAGTGACTAGACCAAAGTCTCCAAGCTAAAGGAGCAATGAGATCAGAAATTGACCACTGATCCATTTTCTTTCTGCTGCATAACTTGAATATTTCTTGTGTGGATTTCTTTATTTCTCCTTTTAAGAAGCAGTTTGCTTTCACTTGGTAGAGATTTTCTTCTTTTCTTCACAGCTGCTTGTAACCATTGGTCCTAGTCCTGCTCTTGAAGTGATAGTTTAATCCTCTTTCATTTAACTGATCTTCAAATGTTAGGAGCTGTCAGCATGTCCCATTTGAGACTTAAGTTTTCCAGTCAGTACCCAATCCATTCCTTAAACCCGTTTCTTTTAATATATTCTTGTCTGCCAAGCCCCATGTAAAATATGAGTTATGAAACAGCCAAATCCACAGTTCCAAATAATGTTCCCACATCAGAGAGTACAATGGAGTACGTGCCTGAGACAGATACTATTTTTGGATTATAACCTAGGGTTACATTAACTTTTTGGAAGAAACCTTCTGGCATTTATAAACTTCACTATGTGCCCATAATCTCTTGGTGATAAATGCACTTTGTCATTCAGACTGTCATGACTTGTCACTCACCACATTTTGCAAAGGTTTGTTTTATCAGCTGTGAATTCCACCAAAGTTCATATTTCTTCCTCATGCCTAAAAGATACTATTAGAAGTGTTTTCTCATTATTTACTCAAATCAAGGTACTTCCTGCCCATAGTGTTCAGCTTGTTTAAAAATACCTGATAATCCAAAGGGGGAAGAGGGTGAGTTTCACTTGAGCAAAATTCTGTGAATGATTTCAAACTGACTCTCAGAGATTTTGCTTTCTGTTCCCACTGCTCTCTTAATGCTTTCCCACTGCAAATTTTTTTTTTTTTTAACCTTGGTTTTCTTCCCGGTACCGGGAATCGAACTCACGACCTCGTGCTTGCCAGGCAAGCGCTGTGCCGCTGAGCTAAATCCCCAGCCCCCTGCAAAATTTTTTGTAGGTCAGTTTTGTTTGTTTTCACATCATTTTTTAAAGTTTGAATTGTTGAAAATTCTGCAGTTCCACTTAATGTCAAATTACTCATTTAAATCTCTTGGGCAATAAGTGGTTAAAAATAACATAGATAAATAAATCTTTTCACACCCCCAAACATGGGTGTTTGTAGATGTTAGATGCTTTTATTATGAAGAAAACATGGATTTTCACAAATTAACTATTTTAAAATAATGAAATTTTAGATTCCATAAATATTCTTCAAAACATTTCTGTAATAATGTGGTGATAGTATGTTTAGTAAATCAAAAGGAAAAAAATGTCACTTTAGGTAGTAATGGGGAATTGAAGCAAAAGAGAATTTTTATTACAGTAATAAAATATTTCAAAGCAAATTTTTAGTCATGTTGGCAAAAATATAACCATGCCACCAATATTGGAAATGATTTAAGGAAGTTTCAACACATGCTGTCTCTATTTGCTGACATTCCCTATTGGGTATTGTGCATTAATATGTGGGTAACAGATGCTTGGAAACTATTTTCCCTTTTGGTTTAATCTGCTCTTGGAAGATTTGTTAAATATTTTGTGACTATTGCAGTGAGGTAGAGGTGATGTTTGGATTTAGATTTTTACCCTTTCCCAAATAAACAAGTCATTCTATAATTTCCCTCTCCTCCTCCTTTGTTTATATTCTGTTTTCTCTTAGCACACATACAAACCGTGCAGATTAAAACTGAATTTGTCAGGGAAATTTATTTATTAAAAATAAAGCAATAAAAATAAAATACTGAGAAAAAATACCAAGCAGTAGGTATTGATCATGACTGCTTAGTCTCATAACAATGACCATTACTTTATATTGATGACTGATGGAGAGTCACTATAATGAATCTTTGAATTTCACAATTCCTAAGGGTTTCTTAATCTTAAAAATTCAATTTCATTTTATTTTTCTTTCAATTTCATTGTAAAGGTGTTAAGTAAACATCAACATAAAAGAAAGATGAAAAGATAATTAGGAAAAGCATTTGGCATTCAAATCTTAATGACTTTTTTCTTTTTTCCTTTGTAAGTTATGTATCTATTCTTTGGTCAGTACTGACCAATTTTTTGATACTGGCTCCCATAAGATTTTCAGTATCAGGTCATCCTTCCTTACTAAACTTATAAGAAAAATTATGAGAAGGAGCCTGTAGGGAAAGTTTCCTAAAATTTCCAGAAGTTAATAAGCTTCATTTTCCCTCAAATGAATTTTACGTATTTGGGGAAATATGTAAAATTAGCTAGAATGATGATAGTTGTAATAATATCACCTATTTGCATACCACATTTAAATAAACCAATTTACATACTTTAATATCGGCAGTCTCTAAATCTTTGCAGTTCTATGACTTATGACTTTATCTTGACAAACCTACTGTGACATAAGTAGTACTTAGTTTCTGATAAGCATACTGAGGTTCTAAAGATCTTGTTCACATAGAGAGGCCAAGACACAATTCCTACTTCCTAGGCCCCAAATGCTCTTTCACTGCACTTGTCAGGATCCATAAAATTATCCCTCCTTTAGGTATTAAGCCATTGTTAAAAAGCCCATGCACTATGACAGGGATAAGAAATAAGCCATAACCAGGAGCCAGTATCAAAGATAGAATTACTCTCTCAATTAAGAAGATAGTTAAAGCAAATTTGAAGGACAGAATCACAAGAAGTAAATTTTATGGGTGGACAGGACTGGTACATTACTTAGAGTTTAGTCTTGCTTGGGTGCTTCACTTTGGGGAGGTCTGAGGAAATAGGCCAGCACGACAAAAAGTGATCCTGAATTTGGAAATGTACTGAGGAGAAAAGCAGAAAAGAATATGATACCTGTCTAATATGTTTCCTGTGTCAAACTTGGTACTGAAAGTTAAACACTCCAGTGATTCTACAATTATCTTGATAAAATATTGTCTTGCTTCCTTTCTTATTGCTGGGACACAATACCCAATACTCACAGTTTAAAGGAGGAAAGGTTTATTTTAGCTCACGGTTTGTAGAGGTTTCAGTCCACAGTTGGCTGGCCCCAAGGCTGGGCTGCACAGCAGAGGGCCCTGGCAGAGGAGGGAGTTACAGCATGGCGGCAGGAAGCAGAGAGAGTGATCAAGGGAGGGAGGGAGATACACTGTTCCAACCAACATCCCCAGTGATCCACCTCCACCCAGCAGGCTTCACCCCCAGTATCATGTTTAGCTA